CGAGTGCATTGGGTGTATGCTGGTGCTCCTAGCGCTATCTTGACGGCCGCTGTGCGATGGATTCGTAAGTGACCTATCAGGCCGATGCAGGATCTCTGGAATGCTGTAGAATCTATAGTGGGTCTACTAGTGGTGTTTGCGGTGGGAAATGGAGCACTGTTTGTGCTGGAGGTGAGAGATTTGTCAGGTATGCGGGATGTGTTTGGAGTGTCAGTACTGGGGTGAGCTGCGCTTTTTTGGATGCGCATGTACCGAGCAGGCCCATGCGCTGAGGGAATGTTTGCGTGTGTGGAGTGCGGACAGTAGGTTGGGCTTCCTGGCACTGGTATGTCGGTCACACGTATGGATGGATTCGCAAGTGGCCGATCAACTGGCCATCGGACCCACCCAAACATCAGTGTCTAGGATTCTCGTATACGCCCTTCGCGGCACCGTCATACAACCAGCACTTTAACTGAGCGAAAGTACGTTTCATCGATCACGTGGCTTTACTACAGGTGATTAAGTGGTAACACACACAAACACACAGTTATGTTAAGGTTTATTTTTAGACAGTCCATTGTACTTGGCAGAAAGACTCGTAAATTTGTTGCCAAGTTACGGTTCTAAGCTTTTCAGATATGCAACATTCGAAAAAATTATTTTTACCCAGTTCCATTTACTGGCAACGCCAATCTTTCGTAATGTTCTACTGAACCAATGCATTTCATAGCTGCTCTGTACCAATAAGGAGTTCAAAGGCATTTTTCTACATTTCTTTTATGACCCGCGCCTGGTACTTCTAATTAACACGCCGAGCCAAAGAGTCCGTAAAAGAGAGAGAGAGTTTACTCAGATAAGCACGTCACAGCAAGTCAGCGCAAGTCATTGAATGTAACAGGTACAACAAATTTAGGGCAACGAACGGCTGTGAGCTAGGTCCATCGAGCCAATCAGCTTTTGGCTACCGGCGTGATTGGCTGGAACTCGGCGGCAGACATTCAGCTTAAAATTTGAATTATCGATTGATGTGACTGCAAGTTGCGTTCGCTGCATGTAGGCCGATCAATAGCCTGCTGTGCGCGCTGCTGCTTGCGCAGGCTATCTGTTAGGCTCGTCCCAACAATTTCCCTCTTGCCTACATTTCCCTTAATAAACCTGACCTGACCTAGTAAGTTCGACCCCACGTCGGATGATCTGAGTGCTAAAATAACTTTAAATTAGACATATAAATAGATCTCCTTTCACGTATAAGTGTGTGTTTGTGTGGAGTGGCCGACTGACGGATATAGAGTCAGGCTGCAATGGTTCCCTTTTAATGTGGCCTTTATGACACTTCCACTTCGTGTGATCCGCGCTAGGTCTAGCGGTGCGCTTAGGGTCGGCTTTGGGCGAGCCAGCCACCTGCGACCTCTCCTGCTTCCGGTCTTCTTGACTTGATCATGTTCTCCTGCCTATAGTACTAGCCTCTATGTGGTTGCTGGCGTGGCTCGAGAGTGAGGTCCGTAACAGAGCGGTGAGCGCCAATGTGATCTAAAAGTGATCAAGTTACAAAACATCCTCCACGTAGCTTGTGAGAACACCGTGACAGGGTCCTAAAGGGATAATAAAATGATGGATTAGAATCGAAAACCGTGAGGTGGAACTGCAAGCCTCGCAGCTGGAGCACAGTTGCCTTTTAAATGAGGATTTTTTTACACCTTGGAACTTTATGCAAGCTGCATCTGAAGTCGGAGTTCAGCCACCGGTCGTTAGCTTAACGAACAAGCTTCCTGTACCGTCCAGGTGCAACCGAAACCCATTAACGTTCGTTGGATAGGGTGCGGTATAACCCATTCGATGCTGCGCTGACCGGTCCTGGATTCGATTGATTCCAAATCTTTCATTTCGAATGACAACTTGACCCAAAGATTGAGAAATTCTCAAAGTCGCATTTATCTTCGTGCACACCAAATAGCAAGATCTTCACCATTTTCTAGGCCATTAATTTTGGACAGTGAGTCCTTGACCAAAGATTTAACTGGATTGTGAAAAGGGAAGGGGATTATTCATTTTTTAAGCACGCTCTGAGCAAATTGCTTACAAAAACTAAACACCATCAGCAACTTTGGGTAAGGCTTATGTGTGCGGCCGCCTAAACCGGACACAGAAATAGGAGCGCACAGCCGACTTAAAATAGGTGGGTTTTCGATACATTTCAGGAAGGTTGCATATTCACGTGCCTTAACCTTAAAACTCACCCTAACACAAAGCTAAACATTAATCTTAACCCTAACACCAACCTAATGCATACCCTACCACGAACCCTTAGCATAATCCTGACTCCAACCTCGACTCGGACTTTAAATCCAACCTTAAATATAACCCAAACCTTAATTCTGTACCTAATTTCTCTGGAATTTGGCGCAAAATTACATGCATTATGGGCTATTCCGTCTCCCGTGCCCTGTTTAGGCAGCCACGCAAGCCATTCCCATCCAGATTTGTTGAGAAATGTCCTTAATTCCAAGTTGGTGTGTCTCTGGCAGCAGGTGCAGTGAATTTCATCGATGTACAAGGCAGTGTCATCTTTTGTCCAACTTTTGCAAACATCCATTTTGATCTGTAGCCGAGATCTGTAGCTGTTTGCTTTCCGACAAAATTAGTTACAGAATGCTTTATGATAATCTCGCAGCCGCATTTCGCATGCGTTTTAGAACACAAGACAAGACAGGGGAATAGAAACCCTCCTATTCGAGTTGGGGGGGTTGTGCTAACTTACATGAATATTAGTGTTGCGGTTAGGCTCAGAGTTACGTTGGGAGTATGCTCGAAGATAAGATGATTGTTTGAGTAATTGTTAAGGGTGGGTTGAGGACATAAGGATATTTACGTTTCCTGTAGGTTTAAACAAGACCATCTGCATCACCGAGGGTAGGGAGACAGGTTGTCAGGTAGTTATCCGGTCTCCAAAAATACGTGATCCAGCCGTCATGAAGTATCGAACTTGCCTACTGTGCCGTGTCTCGACCGCACGGCACATTACTTTTACAGGGCCCGCTAGTGCGGACGTGCACACAAGTGGGCCATTTCCCTCGCAAACTTTTTCAATTACCTAGAGGTGTCTGTTTGTTATGTTCTTTTATTTGACATGCTTCTTTTTTGCTCCCCTCCAGCTGGACCTTTCAGTGAGATCCCCGCTGAGGTCGCCAACATTCGAAAAACCGCCTCCTTCCAGCTGATTTTGGCCACAGCACGAGATGTGCTGACTTCATTCTGGCACTTCTGCCTTGGCCGCGGCCCCGTGTTTGACTCGGCCGCCGCACGGGGTCCGCTGATGTCTGCCGTCTGCGTCATAATGCGCATCAGTTACTACATGCTGCTGGCTTCATTCCTCTACCTGATTCCGACCATTGCCATCGCACTCTTTTTCATTGGCATAATTGTAAGTTGCGTGCGCTAGATGCGCTTGCGCTTTTTTTCTACAACCCAATTTATTGGGAACCGCCATCGCGTTGAAAGTATCACCTCCGCGAAAACGCCGCGATAGGAGGTGACTCGAGTCTACCTAGCTTTGTGTTTGCGCCTGTTTGAGCTATTCTGGCCCAACTCTATGAACAGTTGTAAAATATATTGGCCGTTTCGCTGAGACCCAAGCCTACGATGGCAAGGGGAAAACTTCAGTACAGTCAGATCCCACGTTCAGTGTTGGCCTCGAAACTCCCTTGTTCACTTTGTCGAACTAAGCGGCTCCCCCAGACGATTTAAAGTGTCTTCTGTTCCTTTATCAAGAAACTCTAGTTCAAAGTCCACTGGGATTAACTACAGGTGCCATTACAAATCGCGTAGTCAGCCAGCACTAATTGAACCATTACTCAAATGATTCGCGACTCAAACCATTATCACCTCTTGCGGGAATTTCGGCATTATCAAATTTGAATGTGTGGCCTGGTGCCGTCGAATGAGCCGCAACTTGAGAATTGGCATCATTTTGCCGCACTGCTGCCACAATTCGCATCTTGAGAAGTCTGCCAGTTTCTCTGACGTAGTTGCTTTGTCCGCAATTGTACCAGATCCTATAGACGACTCCAGATTTTTCTTGCCGTGGCAGTGGGTCTTTCGGTTTCATTATCTGAGTCAGTGGTAGAGGAATGCTGATTGAGGAAAACTAAGGTCATCGGGAGTGAGGAAAACATTTTCATTTAAGGAGTCTATATCAGCATCCAGATGTGCCAGTTGTTAGGGCCCAGCTTAACTGCGAGTGCACGCCGCCCTGGAGAGTCGTTCGCACGCCAGACGACCGTTC